CGAGTTGCAAGGTCTTGTTTGGTCACTGAAATAAAGGGAGAATGCCCAAAGTACACTTAGTCCTGTCTGTGCAGCCACGCTGACAACAGTATAACAGCTGTAGGCTACATGTCCACCAAATGAGAAGGATAGCAACTGGCTGGTAAAGGAAAGTCACACGTCAAGCAGCGACACAGACAACAAGAGTTTTTCTGTTTGATAATAAAATGACATACAGTACCTCAAAGTTACCTGCCACCTGTCTCGTCTAATACTCCCTGAAAGCCACTGCATCGGTACAAACACTGGACTGCTCTCGATGCAGTCCTCTGTACACTGTGGCTCACCCACTGCCTCTACATGGTCTAAAACTGAAAGGACTCCTGGGAAGCTAATGAGCCTTGGAAAAAAGCGTCCACCTGAGAGCTCAGTCATAAAGGACGGTCACAGAATCTTTGTCCTTCTTGTTGGCCCTCTCCAAAACATCCATTTTACTTCAACTGTTATTTCAGTGGAAAAATAAAGATGTGAGATTGAATGATGCCTGAAGCGTCCAACCTTAAAAACACACACACACACACATACACGCACACACACACACACACACACAATCTCTCTCTATCTCTTATGATTTTTTTCTGTCTTTCTTTACCACTGTATATTTACTCAAAAATAAATTCATGACTGATTGTAAGTCTGAATAAACAGATTTTTATTAAACTTGACTTCAAGCTGGATGCTTTTATGTGCTCTCCTAAGAGCAATGCATAAATTGAACGTACATTTCTAAGTGCCCCTCTGAGAGCAATTCATATTAAGATGAATAAATCTGGTTTTGGGCCAGAAATGCAGTCTTAGACACACTCCAGATGCAAGGTCTTTCTCTTGCACTCCAGAGAGTCCTAACAAAGGCATGCCACATTAACAACTGCAGAATTGACTGTCTGACACCCAGTTGAAGGCCAAGCTGTTGGAGACTGGACTTGGTGTGACCTGATAGTTTAGGTTCTCCTGTGGGGCTGACATATGTATTTTTAAAACCCACTAAAAGTGGCGTGGGTCAGAAGAGCATCAGTTACACCTACAGTATGTGGTTGTGTTACCGTGAAGAGTTTCGTGTCCTCTGTCGTAGGCCATGAGTGTTAAGTATGTTTTGTAAACAGTGATTCTGTCCCTTTGTATGCACAGAACAGCAGTATGTACACTTTGCATGAGACTGTTTTGTGTGAACAATCAGTCCTTAAACATGCTCCTCAGTAGCTGGTCTAATGGAACTCATTGCTAAATCACAGCAGTATTTCTGATGTGATCTCACACTTCAGATGAGACATGGATGAAATGGAGGAGAATGTAGTGTTATGCACCAAGATGCGCGTTATACATTTGTATGCATTCTTGCAATAAAAGTGGTTTACAATTGAATCGATCCAGATGGACAAAAGTTACAGTTACACTTAAGGTGGCTCACAAGTGCCCAGGGTTGTTATATAGTAGCTAACTAAATGAGAGTAAAGTGCCTTAAAGTTAAAGTTCGAAAATTCACTTTCTTGCTGAGGGTTAGAGTCGCTCTTGTCTGTATGCTAAATATGTAGCTACATCCAGTCTGCCACCAGTCTGTGTAAAGCTACGCTAACCAGCTGCTGGCTGTAGCACTGTATTTAGCTCATAGACATGAAAGTGGTATCAACTCTTGACAAGAAAGCAAATGAGCATATTTGCCAAAATGTGAAACTCCGGTAACTACTAAATTCAAATTGTTGAGACATTTGGTAAACATGAGAATTGGTTAAGTTTATCTGTCGGCCGCCTACTTCTTAGAAAATTCCAGGAAGAGACTTCAGTTCAGCAGGATGTTGTTGGAGTAATATCAATAAACAAAAAAAAAAAAAACACTTGTTGTTGCTCTTGATAAACACATCATATACTGTAGCACTCAACTGGTTTTGGACGGTTTGCATCAGAATTAGATTGAACTTGAAGAAGTGCTTAGTTCCAAGGTCATCTTGTGATGTAGAAGGCATCTGCAAACACAGTTTGCAACCCAGCACAATTCATTTTTAAAGCAATTGGAACTGATGTACCTTGGTCTTACTGAGTCTGATTGATTACTTCTTGGGTCACTTCACTGTGTTGAGAGTCCAGTGGAGGGCAGACAAGAGGGGTCAGTGTTAGAGGTCAGGGGTCAAATCAAAGCAGAACATTATTGACACCATGTGCTGACACATATGAGTTCTGTTCCAACATTCTGACATGGCTTCCTTTCCCTTCTCCTCTGTTTTTCTTACTATTGATTTCGATATAATAAAAGAGGGAGAAATGCTTTCAGGTTGAATAAGGAGTTGAAAATGGGGAAAAAGAGGAAAGGAGGCCATTTGGAAGCTTTTGGGATGCAGTCCTCTCACAGATGGACTTGCAGCGCTGAGGGAAGCTAACGAATATGTTAAAAATGGCAGCCCCCCCAGCATAAAGGGACGAATCAGGATTAGAGCCATACCACAACAAATGAACACATACGCACACAAACATTAACACAGGGAAAGAGAGGACAGCCACATGGAAATTTAACGTTATTTATTTTATTTTAAAATAATCTTATTTTTCTCATTTAGTTGTTTTGAGCGTAATTTTGTTGCCATGCCTTTAAAAGTTTGCTACTAGCCATGTCTAAACATCTTAGGACCTCATAAAAGAAGTCCTCCAATGAGGTCTACATCTTTGACTTTAAATAAAACTCTTTAATAATAATATTAATTTCATTTCTGTAATGTTATCTCATTTACAAAAAGTAAAATATTTGTGGAAAATAAAAAAAACAGAGACCATGGCTCAAAACATAAAATGATACAATGTTTTTCATTTGATATGTTCCGTCCCCATCAGCAGAGGATCATAAAGGTGAGTTACATGAAAAATAAAAATAGCCTAGATTTTCATACATTTCATTGAATGTTTAATGAGATAAAGTAGTTGAGCTGTTGTTCTTATACATACAATTTAATACGTGATGACTTATATTTGAATTACCTCAGTGATTCACCTCTAAATCCAATATCTGCGAGCGCAAATGTAGGACGAGCTAAGGGTTAAATGATAATCCCCTCACTGCTTACACGGGCGCTCTTTTTGACAAGCATTGTGGTTAAATACAGCTCCACTGTAATCTGTGACTCTATAGTGTTTCAGGTGAGACTGACAAATACCCAGTGTTAGTTTAATATCAGGGAGAGAAAAGATTTCCTGGGGGGGCAGTGCAGACTCCAGCTCAATCCAACGAAAAGATGAAAATAATCCAATGTCTGTAGCCATTCTTTTGCTTGAAGAAATGCTATTAACCTTTGGCACCAAGTTAATTGCTTTTTTTTTGCAGCAATGGCCTGAACTCTGCAACGGGATTTTTTTTTTTTTTTTTTTTTGAGTTCATGGGATCATGGGAGAAGGTATGCATTTGCTTCAGTTAGATTAGCCTGCTGAAATCTGATTTTTAACCTTCACAATGGGCACTCATTATTGTTATAGTAGTTCACTGAATGTCTGCTCCATGCTCAGGCTTCTAAACCGAAGCTGGTAAAATGACCTAATTCCTGAGGTTTGGAAAAGCCTTAACAATCAGTCTAATATCTACTATGTTTGTATAATTCATGTTTATGCTATCACTTATTTTGAGATAAGAGCTATTTTTTTTTTTTTTACACTAACTTTTCACAGAATAATTATACTCCCAAGAGCCTTTTTAAGTCTTAACAAAACGACAGCTACAAGCTACTGTAAGATCCTACAGACAGAAAATGGTATAAAGCCTCATGAATAAGTAGAATAATTATTTTATCATTCAAAGTGTAGCGCTGGGTTTTCTTTGTGACTGTTGACTTTGCCGACCTTCACTAGTTCAAGTGTAATTTTGCATGAAGAGCCTTGTAGGTGCAGATGAAAACATTCTACGTTTAGTTTGCGATGTTGAGCTCTTGAATGTTAATCAGAGCACTTTCTGACTAACAGAGGGTCAAGTTTGCAAATCTAATCACTTCATTTAAAATGGAGGAAATCATGAATGAACATCATGAAATCAGTAACTGACCTCTCTTTTTTTTTTTTTTTAAACAGACATTTTATCACCTTCTCGACAACATACCCAGAAAAAGACATTTGTGTTTAGTAGGGTTTTGTTCAACATGCATTTGGGGACTGGGGCTATGTGCATGCATGTCACACATGTACCTTGGTCATGTACCTTCTATCATAACAGATAGAAAACACATTTCTTACATTTCCTGTTTGGCGTAATGTTGCTGTGGAACAAACTGTTCTGCATAGAAAGTTCATTCCTCGCTTAGCAACGTCTTTGAAGTCTCATTTGAGAAAACATCAAGAAGTGCCTCTGCACAGTTTTCTTGGCGGTTGAGGGATGTGTTGTACGACCGAATTGGAGGTGGATTTGAGGAGTCTGCATGTTGCCTACAGGAAACTGTTCTCATCATGGCAGTGTGGAAGGAGGGGGATGGACCAAGCAGGACAATAAACAGGGAGGAGTTTAAGTTAAAAGGTAGTGACAGGAGGGGAGTACATGTCAAAAAATAACAAAAGGCATTCAGGACAAGGAGACATTTACACGCACAAAGTGCACATCAACTGTTGTTATTTACAAGTACAGCAGTCCTTCAAGTTTCCAGTTGAGTGAAAACAAAAAGTCAAAATGTAAAGAACAATTAAAAGATCCGATAACAGCCATTTTGGAGGGCAGATACAATAGAACACATCCACGTGGTCGCTGTGTCACACTGTTCACTCTATTTACAGGACTGTACATACATACAGGTGCAATTTGCTCGTTAAGGTTTACACTTCAGCGAAGCAAGACGCGCCTCCGGCTTCTGACATGGCCACTGACCATGGACGACACACACATGCACACACTCTCACACACACGCACACAAAAGTATGCATGCGTGTGAGGCTGCACAGACACAAACAAACACCCATCCTCTCACACACACAACACACACACACATGCATGCACGCACGCACGCACGCACGCACGCACGCACGCACGCACGCGCACACACACACACACACGTCAAAACAATTATGTCTTCTGATAATTGCCATAATGGCTCTCCAGCTGGTTCGCTCGGACATGTGTGCTTTACCAGTCTGCATCTTCCTCTATGTAATAATCAGGTGTTGAAGTACCATCAAACAAACCAGGGTCGAGGGACTTGCGCTGCTTTCCCCGGGCGAAGACACGCGACAAAGAGCCCAGCCCCATCTTCTCTTTCTTCTTCTTACGCTTCGCCTCCTCCAGATCTTCTAGGGACTGAAGGAAGAAAGAGATAGAGAGAGAGCAGAGGGAAGAAGAGGATGAAGAGATGGGCAAACTAACAGAGATGCAAGAGCAGAGAAGTCAGTGAAGGTGTGCAGAGTGGCCGATAAAGACCAGGAAAGATAAAGATCATGACACAAAGGGGAAGTGATGCTTGACATGCTGCCAGGCATGCACTTATTCAACAACCACGACTGGTTTTCACATAAATTCAAGTCACAGCTGCAGAGTGAGTACACGACAGACTCTGTGGGGCAAACACAAATTCAGCCAGAACGATGGTGGAGAGAAACGACAGCGGCCAGGCAGCAGGACAGTCAGCAGTTACCACAACGGAGGTGATTACTTGGGAGGGTGTAGTGGTGGGCAGCTCTTACATTGCAGAGGGAGTGAGTCCGATGACGTGGTGAGTTGATGTCGCTGGGTGTGGATGACCGGTCTCCCTCCACCGCTGAGGCGTCGGAGATGATGGAGGGCTGGCGCGAGTGGCATGGGCTCACCCGCACGGCAGCCACTAAACGGGACAAGAGGGAAAAGAGAACAGGCTTGTTTTCTTTGGGGTGTGTTTGGGCACCAAAAGTAGTGAACAGGGAAAATCTGATTCCTCCCAGCAACGCCGCAACACCCTTAAATAAAAATATATTTTAAGAAGTCCCTAAGCAATAGCCTGAAATTATTTGCAATCATCTGCAGTTGCTAAGCAACAGTGAAAACAGCTTCACAGTAGAACGAGTGTGTGTGTACCAGTGAGACTGATACATACAGCAACCAATTGCACAGCAATTTGGGAGTTCGTGACTGTTCACACGTTTTCAGTGTTTTTTTTTTGTCTTTGTCTGCTTCTTTCTCCAGATGCCACCAATTAGTGAGCAGGCTGTTTGAACCTGTGGAGGACTGAGATGAACTTCTCCTATTGTGGCTGCAAGGCTTATTTGTGAAGAACTTGGGAAGTGCCATTAGTCCACTTCTTGCTCTCAAGAGTGATTATGTTTAGTTCCATTTCTCTGGAAGTTTAGGATTAACCTCTCAGGGTGGCTGTGGACACTTCACAATTCAAGCGTTTATTTTGCAGAGTGAAATTTTGCAATCATAACAAAACCTTGAGTCGGCTGTTATTCTATAATGATAACAATTACTATCGGTTGATGATAATGTTGGTAAGGCTTTTGTTAAATGTAGGTTGCTGACCTATGCTACCTCACAATGTGTGGACATATCTGCAGCTGACACGCACCACATGCCGCTTAATAGTGACTGACATTCATTTGAATTTTCGAAAACATCACTCCCTTTTATATCAGGGGGGGGGGACACGTAAGATGCCATAGACAGTGCCGCTTCTCCTCCTCTGTCTGTGGTGTATATCTGTACGAGTTAAATGGAGAACCTACAGGGGTAAATGTTGTGAGGGGCCTGAAAAGTAGAGGAGTAGAAAGATAACAAAAATGACAACAACAAAAAAAAAAGTTTCCCTTAGAAACTGGGTCAAGTTATAAGTTACTGCAGCAGTGCAGAGAAAATGTATGATTCCACTTACTTCTCTCTTTTTGTAAAGACTCTTTTAAAAGGAAAGAAACAGAACTTGACACCCAACTGATTCTCAGCTGCCACCCATTCTCAAATCCAGAGCGAACAATTGTGTGCAGCAAAGACAAATGGAAGCTGTAAAGCCAAAAATATGTTCACTGTAACTGCTACATAAAGCGCATGAAATGTCACGACCAGAGCATCATCAGTGGCCAATAATGTGGTCATACTGAGCAGATGGCGCGAGTGAATGTGTGTGAAGCAGCTGGACACGAGCATGCAGAGGGTAAATGATGGTAAAAATCACTGTGTGTGAGTCAGTTCATGTACAGGATGGAGGGTGTGGCAGTATGTGTGCTCATGTCGTCCTACCTTGCCTGTCAGTGGGATGCCCTGTGTGGACATAGAGGGTCTGCTGACTCTGTCTGATGGCAGCAGTCAGGGGGAGGTCAGCCTGCATCACCCACTCCTGGTTGTTGCCGTTGACAACCGTCTCCGTGGGCATGGCCAGAGAGTGACGCTTGGGCACGTCCTTGGTCAGGGTGGCTAGTGACTGTTTGGCCTTAAGAAGGTAGATAGACAGCTGGAGTCAGGAAGAGAGCAAACCCACAACAAGCAACAACCCTGGAGAAAAAATCCTACTATTTTTTTTTTTTTTTGCTGTTTCTGGTTTGTGAGTGAGTTGGTGTTCGCGTCACTGTTATTCTTGTTTTTATTTAAGCATATGTTGTTTGTGTGTGCACATGTGCATGTTAAGTTAGGTATCCAGAATCCTACTAAACATGCAGATGTGTGACTTCTCCCCTGGGCTCCTCATGTGGTTGTTGTCTCATGAAAAATGCAGCTGTGTTCACATTACTCTTTTCTTGTGTGAAATCTCTCGCTACAGCTCCTCAGAGCGCTGAGGAAAAAGAAATGGACAGAATATCTGGAGGAGGTGTTTGCTGTTTTCATCTTTTCAGGGGTGGAAGTTAGAGGTTGGTGGCATGTAAAAATGGAGAAACGGGAAATAATGAGGCTTTTCTTTAAGTTTAATGAATACATTTGCTCTGTGGAGCTTCGCCACAAAGCACAAGTCACTGCCTTTTAGCAGGAACGACAATGAGCTCCTGGATCCTTGAGAGATGTGTTTGTGAATGTGTACTTTGTGTCTATCAAAAGATTTATTTTCTTTGTGTGTACGTTTTCTGGTTAACCCTGACTCGTTGGTGTTTTACAGATGCTTGAAATCTTGTTATTCTGCGACTTATATCATCATGCCAAGCGACGGCAGGCTGCAAATCAACACCAGCACAATCAGCTTCATTGCAATCATCTCTCCCTGGTCAAACGATTCTCAATCACAGCCTTTGACATGCAAAACAGAATTAAAATCACAAACCTTTGCAGAAACCATTAGTTGTCAGAATATTGACGTGTTTTCCCCCAAGCATTCTTTTATTTTTTTTTTTGTCAACTAGAGCTAAAACACATTCAGATCAATCACAGCAGGAATCCATGGGGTCACCAATGTTAGGATCACTGGGTGAGGGACTCCGTGAGGGACGGCTGAGGGTTAGTCAGTCACGTGCAGCTGAGGAAGGGGCTTTCCAAGACGACAATTAGGTCACAAATAGGAGAGATTTCCAAGGAGTGGGAGGGTCAAGAAAGGTCAAGTTTTAAAGTTGGAGGGGGGGTGGGGGGCCCGTCTTACCGCCATGACCCTAGAAGAGTAGTCCCTGTCCGCAAGCCGCTCAAACACCCGGAACTCCATTCTCTGATTGACACAGTTACTCATCTGGGGGGGTTGGAGACATGAGGGATGGCTATACTGTATGTTCAAAAGCTTTCTGCGTTTGATTAAAAGCAATACACCCAAAATAGTGCATAGTCACAGACAGATGTAGCGTATACCCGTGAAACAGTAGTGAATTTGTGCTTTCTTATCTATCATTTGTATTGTTTGTAGTAAATATCTTTTCCTTGTTCCTGTCAGTAGTTTCAACACTTGTGATGAATATGTGTCTGAGCCATGATAACTGTACTCTGGTACAATTCAGTATAAATTCAGTATGGTTCTATCTTTCTGACCGTCCTGCTGTGTTTTCTATTGGCAACTATATTTCAAAGGAATATCAAACTCAACAACCTTAAAGAAAGATATAAAAGTTTTTTGTTTTTTTTTAAAAAGCATTATAGAGGCGCTGTCAATCCGTCTGTCTTTCTGTCTCACCATGGCCAGTTCAGCTTCCAGCTCCTTGATGCGGTTCTCCTTGAGGTCGAGCTGAGAGCGCAGCATCCCCGTATGCTCTGTGGCTTCCTTGGTCTGCCGCCGCAGGTCCCACTTCTCTCTCTCCAACAGGTCCTTCTCCTTGGCCAGTGCCTTCACCGCATCCTCGCTCTCCTAGTACACACAGAGATCCTGATGGCTTGGCTCACATATCAAGCACTATTGAAAAACAAACTTCCAGGGGAAGACGAAAGTCTAAATTACTTTTTGAAATGATTTCATCTCCCTGAGTTCATCTCAGAGGGAAAAACTAAAGCATTCAATGCATTGGTGAATTTTTCGGTAAAGAAGAAAAACACATTATTAGAGTGGAACAGGTTAACAACATTACAAATACCTGAACATGTTATATTGATCTTTCCAATAGAAACGTCTCATACTGTGGCAGTAGCAATGTAATCATCCTCACAGTCACACAAACATTTAACCTGTCAATATACAAAAAGTAGTGTGTATGCAAAGGAATTCATAGCATGTTCATATGCAGAGAGATCGTCTGTTGTGCAGTGTCCAGTACACACATCCATAAATATTCTCATCCGCAGCATGCTCACACATTTGGCATGAAAGTATGATTCCAAGAAGCAACACCACTGTAACTGATTTACAAAAAAAAAAATAAAAATTTGGTTCTGTTGTTTCGTGGACGTCAACATTTTTGTGCTATGAGAAAGGAGACTCTCTGTAATGATGTTTTAGTGCATGCACTCGTGTGTAGCCTATATCGTCAGAACATGGCTGCCATACTTTTCTGTGCTGCTCATAGTTGCGTATGAAGTCGCGGAGCTGCTCCTCCCGGCTCTCCAGTGTGGCATAAAGCTGCTGCATCTGGTTCACCAGGTCTGCTTTCTCTGCCTTCAGACGCTTACGGTCCGACTTCATGGCTGCAAGAAAGGATGAAAGAGAGAGAGAAAGAGAGAGAGAGGGGTTGTTAGCTAGCATCAGAGACCACAGAGACCTGCGTTTTAAAATGTCTGTGTTGGTGGGTGTGTGTGTGTGTGTGTGTGTGTGTGTGTGTGTGTGCATGTATGGCAGAAACAGAGCATGTTGTTGTGTGTGAAAATGCATACACATACCAATAAAGGGGAAAATAAGGAGGGTGTAAGTAGCTGATTGTTGGTGGGATAAATTCTTTAAATTGCCAGAAAAAATAGAACCTGAACAGTTGAGTTGTTTATCATAATTGAGAGAAAGAAATCATGTGTACATCTGCGCTGCCTTCCCAGGTTTTTTTAAAAGGAGCGATTTTAGCAAGTGAAATTTATTATGACATTTGCTAGGCTCTCTCAAAATGACAGTCTGGTGTTTTTTTGTTTCGTCAAAACACTTCAGCATACAGAAATACAAATTAACTGCAGAAATGTAAATAAAATATGAAATTCATTTAAAGGGGGCACACACACAGACCTCGTTCTGGTCTGCTAACATGCTTTGAGCTGATTCATATACAGTGTTTCTTATTTCTGATGATATACACTATAGGTTACTGTATTAACTGGTTTGTCCTAAAGGCCAACATGGGGTTTTAAAATACATCAAATGCAGTCTTTCTGAATCTAAATACGAACAAAAACTTGGCAGTATGTGTTGTCCTCAAGTCCGCATTGTAGCAGTTTCTTCATGCATAGTAAGTAGGTTATTAAGCACCTTCAGATAAGAGGCGTTTTAAGTAAAAACATTAAATGCACCTGCTGTTGCTGGTCTGATGTGGCGTGACTGCGTGTTGATAAAGAAGTGAATCACACATGAACCCTCCTGTCAATCTCCTCCCCGCTGCTGGCTTCGTTAGAGGCTGGGTCTCTCTTTTCATCTATCTCTCTGCCACACACTCTCTCTAATCCTCTGGCACTTCACCCACGCATCACGATAAAGAATATGGTTCAGTGTGGTTATTCAGAGAAGCTCTAATTTTCTCAAAGACAACATCCCCCTTTTCTCTCCTCTGCATCTGCCTCTTCTCTTGCTTTTTCTTGAGCTTCTCTCCCTCCTCATGCGAGGCCGTTTTCCAGACATCTGCTTAAAGCTGAATTTCCCTCCAGCTATATCACACTGACAATATATGTTTTATTTACATTTTGTGTATTCACACTGTGTCTGTCCACCTTTGTCTTTTTCACTTTGACATCTATTTCCTTACAGCACAGCAGCTGTGACTGCTGGATGTTTCCTTACATCACACTGTTTTTTTTTTCCTCTTGATGCTAGTTGTCATGTATTCACCTTTCATTTTCTTCTCTCTGTTTTACCCCTCTGAGCCAGCTGCCTGTCATTAATTAACTTATATCACAGGCTGGTTAATTGCGTGACATTCACAAGTTGTGTCTGGAGAGGATGCTCAGGCAAGTGCACTTTTACAAGGACAGATTCATGCTCTCATTTCCCCTCTTTCATTTCTCTCCTGTCACCGTTTCATATCTCCCCGCTTCACCCATTCTTTGGAGGTGGAATCCCCAAGCCAAAGGGATAAACTGGCTAAACTAGCCGGCGTATGAAGACAAGAAACATCCCTTATTGGCCAAGAGAAACAGGAAACCTCCCAGCACCTGCCTCAGGAAGTGAAATCAAAGCCGTCTTTGAGATGAGCCAAAAACACTGCTGCTGCCTCACATCCTGCACCTGTGACCGTTGGCAACATTGACCCTCCTGGTGTTGGATACAAGAAAGCACTCACTGTGACTCTGTGAAAGGGATCTTTTTATGAAGGCAAATCATGTTTGCACTGTTACTTCCCATTTCAAACCTATGTATAAACACGTTCAATGAAAAAGAATAGTCCTGGGACTCATTGCAGTTACATCACACTAAAATTGGGTGAGATGAAGAAGCACTAGAATGTCTCTCTCTGCTGACAGCCATATTAATGGCTAACATAGTCTGGCTCGGTCCAAGCCTCCAAGAATTATTACCAGATGAAACAAGAGTGAACCACCTGGGAACCGTACAGAGCTGAGGCGAATGTGTGTGGAGCTGGAGGAGGAGGAAGACATGGAGAGGAAGCTACTGGAGAAGCTTCAATATAATAGTGATTTCATGGAGGAATGATACGTGCACAAGCACCTACCTTCTTTCTTGTTCTGCATTCAATGAATATATTTTGCATTTTGAATATTTGTGGACTATTTTTTCGATTATATCTACAGTGGATATCCAGCGTGTGTAAAACGTGAAACAGCGGCTGTCTGTGCAAAACTGTATGTGCCTGCATGCAAATTCAGATACCCCCGCCTGTGCAAGCAGAAGAAGAGCAGATCGGGACTCTTGCAAAACAAACATTCACTATCAAAAGTCCAAGCTACTGTTCCCACATTCCAGTGGTAAAAAACAAAAACACCTGCCTGTGTAACACTCTCGCTACACACTCTCTAAAATCTGCATAAGTGGTTTTTAGCTCACTACACAAAGCCTCTTCTGCTACCAAAGCCCTTGTGCTTTTAAGTAGTTTAATGTGAACATCTACTATTGTAGCGCGCTAAAAGCCTTTGTCTGCTGGGCTCTTTGCTACTGGAGAGCTAAGATTGCCTGCAATGAGTGGGCCAGCTCATTAGATACTAAACAGGAACACTGGACTCCTCAGGGAGATCCCACTGGCTGGATCCAACCCTGTATTGAGATTAAGTTAAAGTAATAGCTTTGCATTTTGGGAATAGACTCACTAGTTACGCAGACGTTCAGGGAAAATCATAAATATATATTGCATTAGGGTAGATATAGATAAACAATTACTGTATGGTGGTCAGGATGACAGCAGGAGGATAGCATAGAAAAACTATGCTTTGTGTTAGCAACATGCTGAGTGTGTATGGACAGTAGAGCAGTAGATTATACTCCAGGAGGGAACATTTCTTTCATGTTTTGATGCTTTTTTCCTGCTGTGAAAATATGTCACCACATGAATCCATTTTGTTGCTGACATGACTTCAAGCTGACCACAGCTGCTGTTGTTTGTAGAGAAGCACACTCCAACTTTTTACAGTTACCTGTAAAGCCTCCGGGGATCATGGTTTGATTCTGAAAGGATGAAACAATCCTCCAACCTGAACGACCACAGAGGTCGTTTGTCTCTACTCTCTGATACGAGCCATAGGAGTGTCTCCTGAAATAGCACCCTTATGGCGGCAGGCATACTGGACCGTCGCTGTCATGGTTACAATAACAAACACCTGGTTAAGCTTATGGAGCGGTCACAGTTTGGTTAGGGTTAGGCTAGGTAAAATGGTAAATCTTGTTGCTCTTCGTACAACACAACCTAACTTCCTCCTTTGCTCCCGCCATAATTACTACAAACAATAAAATGGAACTATGGGTCAAATAAGCTGCTTGCACATGTAGGGTCTTTTTTTTTTTTTAGGGGAGGGCCGTCTCCAGATGATTTGGTGGACTAGCGCCGTCAAATCCATCTAATTCGCTGGTTCACACAGTCTGATCCTATCACTGTGGTATGCTTTTCACATCCCAGGGGGAACTGAGGAGTTGATGTCCATATCATATGCAATTTTTTTTTTTTATGTTTTTCAACAAATGTAATATTGTGTTTAAGCAAAGACTGTGTTCCAAGCAAGCTCTGTTTGTTTTCAGCAACAGACAACAGGATCACAAAGACAGACCCACTTATCAACACCCCTCAGAAAATGATGTTCTTCACATTAGTGAATGAAGCCACTCCACACTGACACTACTCCACATAACTTCAGCCCTAAAGAGAAGGGACAGGCTTTTAGTCGGCTCTTAACATAATTATTTGGGGAGAGAACAAAAGAGACATCAGTTCATTGGAGGGAGTCCATTGTTCATGGTTTGGGGTTTTAAATCTGCCAGCTGAATAATGAAGTAGGAGCCTCAGAGCTGCTCACCTCCTCAGTAAAACAAACTCTGCTTTGGTGCAGTTTAACAGTCTTTAGTGTAGAGCAGCTAATGTGACTCCTGTATCAGACTTCTTTGAAGTCATAGTGATATTCAGACATTTTAATGAGAGTTAATCAACATTTTAACCTCAATCTACAAACGTGACAATGGTATTCGAGCCTTGTTATAGATCTATGCAAAACCTATCCATAAACATTGCTCACTAATAAGTGATCTGCAGAGGTGTTTGTGAATGAGTGTGTGTAAGCTATTTAAACAGCTGCACTGACATCAGCGAATCAAGGGGAGAATCATACATTGATCCAATAACAGCAACTCATTACTCAACTCTCTGTATTCACCAGAAAGGCACCCAGGGAGCCCAGACCTCCGCCTAGGCCAAAGTCAAACAATGGACACCAGGCTTCTGAGAAAAAAAATCGAATTCATAGTAAATGATGAGAATCTGACCCAAAATTTAATGGTTTCTTTCCTGGCCCATGCCCCATTCCTCCACCAGGTTCAGTGCAAATCGGTCCAGTTCCTTTTACGTAATCCTACTGACAAATAAACAGACACGGGTGAAATCATAACCTCCTTGGTGGAGGTAATTAACCGGCGCTGTCATTTGTAGAAAGGCTGAGCCTAATTGTTCTGGTGCAAGCAGTGTAACAACACTGTAACAAGCAAATGCGAAAATGAGAACTGCAAGATAGGTTCTAATACAATGGTACTACTACAATGTCTCTCCGATTACTGAAGTACCTTTGATTACCAGTAGGGGCCACCGTGATCCAAACACGCATTCTCATTTGAGACGATCCAATTAGAATAAATTGGGGTGCATATTGAAAACAAATCTGCCCTCATTACCTATCATGATGAAGCTTCTGCCAAAAATTAGGAAATAAATAGCAGAAAATTTGCGAAAAACACACACCAGCCCTCGGTGATTTTCCCAGGTTTCCAAAATTCAATTGGAGTCTTTCTTTAAAGTTAATTTGTTAAAAAATAAAAGAAAAACTGCTGCAATTACTTTAAT